GGAGGGGGTGAAGGGAGGGCAGGGACAAGGGGAAAAAATGAGAACCAAGACCACCTGTCATGTAAAGGTACAAGATCCCAATAATGAATGTAACTGTACTGTATACCTAAAGTGTACCAATAAACTCAATTAAAAAAAAAAGAATATAAGCACAGGGCTGGGGTGTAGCTCGGTGTTATGGTGCTTGCTTACTATGTATGAGACCTTAGGTTTTATCCCCAGCCTCCCTGCGACACACAATTATACTGTATGCTTTAAGAACTAGAGATTGATATTAGAAATTGGCGTAGTGGTTACCCTGGGAGAGGAAATGGGAAATGACTGGAAGAGGTTCAAGAAGAAGGAACTGCTGAGGAGCTGATACTATGTTTTTTCTTGATTTGCATGCTGATCAGCTTGTGTTAAGTACATTCAGTTTGCAAAAAAAAAAATACACTGAGCTATACATGTATGAGATACATACTTTGTGGATAATAATTTTTTAAAGTAAAAGAATTCAAACTCCACAAAACTATAAAGCATAACATTTTATGCTATAAATCTGGATTCAAAGTCATACAGGGTACAGATGGGTTAATACAGAATAAAACTTGATCTAAAATTCAGTTTTTAGGGTTTTTTAGGACAGGAAGTTAACATTCAAGTTCATGTCTTAACTACACTAGAAATTATCATTGATGTAGAGTGGGAAGGATATCAAATACAAAGGCATAACCACTGTTTTCTAAGCCTTTTTCTATCATTCATGGGCTTAGCCTGGCATCTAATTAATGTAATTTATAGGCTATCAATGAAATGGATAAATAACACTGGCAATATCTTGTCTACACTTCCTCTTCTTCTGAGCCAGGAACCCAGTAAGTAGGGCAAGGGAGGAGAAGGGAGCTTATTGGAAGTAGTTATGGGTCCCCAGGGAACTGTTTTGGAGGAATCTCTGGTGTCTCAGGGGGTGATACTCTCATACTTTGACTTCCCAAGAAACATTAAAAAATGTGAAGCCCCCTTAAACTTCAATGTTGGCAACCAACGCAAATAAAAAAAACTCCACTATATATAGAAAACAAATTAAGTCTGTAGGTGAGATCACATCCATGGGCTACCAGCTGTGATCTCTAAATTCTTAGCTGCTTATGACACCAGATTTTAATCTCTACAAGCCTCCTTCTTTGTAGGCACCAATCCCTTACTTCATTCCTCATACTGTATGTTAACCACTGAAAACATTTCCATTTAACTCTGATAGACAAGCCCACAAAAATGAATGAAATATTCAGGCTATAAGATATATTGGAGGTAGGCACATTTTTATTCTCATTTTCTAATTTCTTATTTGCTATTTCTCACCATTTTCCTTCAACAGTTTATTTCCTATTATATTTCCCATGAGAATTATATTTTATCTATTTTGAAAACAATGTTAGAACACAGGGAAACGTGTTGAGTAACACCACATGTGTGTAATCAGTCTTTTACTATGCTTCAAACTTTGAGGGGCATCACCAACCTATGTGCGGTGTATAATAGTTTCACTCTACCTCACACATAAAGGTCATCATCATCATAATCCACATCATTCCCATAGATTTATTTTTACAAGTCAACTTTTTTGGTTATTATATTTAAATAAAAGACAAGTTCATAGGACTAAACTCATACACTTCAGTCAGTTACTTGGAGATCCTTGAGTTTAACTTTGCACTTGACTTGGTGTGATGGGACTATGAATGACATAGGTTATCACTTGCTGAGTGCCCGTAACATGTCTCAGATTCAAAGATAACTTAATTATTAAAAGACTCTTCCTTTATTAAATGAGGGAAAATATGACTCAGAAAGGTAAAAAAGCAAAATAACACAAAACCTCAAAAACTAAAACCTTTCCCAGGTCTCCCCAGGGCTAATCAGTGAACAGCTGGGGTTTGAATTCAAGTGTACTAGACTCTAGAGTCCATGATCTTTACTAACTCTGCCCAAAAAGCCAGGCATGGTGGTGCATGCCTGTAATCCCAGCACTTGGGAGGCTGAGGCAGGAGGACCACTGTGAGTTCAAGGCCAGCCTGGGCTTCATAGGTCAAGACTAGCCCGAACTAACAGTGAGACCCTGTCTCAAAAATACAAAACAAAACACAAACAAACAGTATAGAACTCATTAAATGTTTAGGAGCCAGGGATGTAGCTCAGTGATGTTGCACCTGCCTGGCAATTGAAAGGTACTGAGTTTGATCTCTGGTATCAAAACAAAAAACAAACAACAAACAACAAAAGCTCTGCCCCACATAATTTAAAGTATATAAGGGCTGCCTTCATAATTGTGTGCTTTCCCGTTCACTAATCCTTAAGGCATTGTAGAATCTTCATTTCGTTTACAAGCTGCCACCAATATCCTATTCTTATATACCATTAATAGCAAATAAAAATTTTGGATGTTTTCCCCAGACTCAAGTTTCTGGAATATACATCTCTCTTTCTAAACTGAGAAATATGCCAGGTGTACTCTATGTCTGTTTTTTTGAAACAGAGTATAGTCCCAATGCTACTTCTCTGCAAAGCAGACTTCCTAGAGCTCACTTTGCTACCAATATGGTTTCTGTCGTGGCTCTCTTACCAGGCCTCCTCCTAGAGGTCTTCTCTGCAGCTTCTACTATTCTTTCCTCCTGGAAATTCCTTCCTTTGCTTGGGCAGCACCTCTCTATCCTAGGTGAATGTCTGCCACCTCTTCCTCTAATTTTGTTTTCTCACCTCCCCCACACATATTGATGTTTCCTTGAATTCTTTCTTTAGTTCTCTTTTCATACTAGGAATACTTCCTCTCATACAAATTCAGTTTTAGCTATTATATAAGCTGGTGATACTCAGCTAGAACCCTGAGCTCCAGACACATACAAGTATCTGCCTAATGAAAATTTCCTGGAAACCACCCAAAATCACCAAGCTCAAAGCCACTTTCCAAATGTACTCCTACTTCCGTATTTTCAGTCTTGGTGATTAGCCCTCTTTCCACTCAGTTCTTTAGGACAAAAATGAGAAGGGGTTGCCTTTTCCCTTCTGCCCAGCTACTTCTTTTTACTAAGCCTTTCAATTCTACCCCTA